ATGCCCAAGTACGCAAAGTTCATGAAAGATCTCTGCACCAACAAGAAGAAACTTGGGGATCTCTCGACAGTGCTGCTGAGCGAGGAATGTTCTGCCATCCTACAGAACAAGCTGCCCGAAAAGCGCAAGGATCCAGGGAGTTTTACTATCCCTCTTACTATTGGCAGCATGCATGTAGGAAAGTCCTTGGCGGACCTAGGATCTAGCATTAATGTCATGCCATATAAATTGTTCAAAAAGCTAGACCTAGGTGAACTTAGCCCTACTAGGATGAGCATTCAGCTAGCTGATCGTTCTGTGGTGCATCCTAGGGGTATCATAGAGGATTTGCTTGTTAATGTGGGTGCATTCACATATCCTGTTGATTTTGTTATTCTGGATATAAATGATGATGTGGATGTGCCTTTGATTCTGGGGAGACCATTTCTTGCCACCGCCAAGGCGTTGATTGACGTGCATGATGGTAAACTGATCCTGCGTGCTGGAAATGAACAGGCTATTTTTCCTGTGACTGAATTTGATCATTGTGCTATGATTTGTGTATCGCATGTGCATGCTATTTCTGATCAGGTACACGAGCCTGTCGTGTATCCTTCTGCACCTCTCATTTTGCAGGACCCGCCTATCATTCCTTCGCCGCCACTCCATCCAGTCTCGCCTCCGAACAAAAAGCTCAAGGAGGAGTGGCGACCGAAGCCGCAGGTGGCTAAGCCTGCACGGAAGAAGAGTGGAGACCACTATGAGCTGGTCCCACCCCCTGCACCACGACCACCCTGGCCATCCGAGTACTCACTCGCCTGCATCTTGCCGGATGGCCAGGTCGAGCTGACCGATGCTGGTGGCTGCAACCGTCGGGTGCACGGTCACCACCTGAAGCTGTACCTCAAGAGCGACGTGGATCCGCTCTTGGAGGTACCTGTTCCTGCACCTCCCTGAGTATCCACCATGGGCATCCAGCTAAAAGACGGTAAAGAAGCGCTTGTGGGGAGGCAACCCCACCACAGTTTGACTTTCTTTCTTATGTTTCGAGTCGGATTGCGATTTGGTTTTGTTTTGGTTTGTTTCCTTTGTTCTGGATGATGTCTTATTGGGCTGACATCGGACCTAACATATTCTGGTTGAGCTCTTCTGTTTCCCTTGAGCTGTGCTGTGTTCCCGCCTGGTCCATTTCCAGTCTCCTGCAGTCCGTGCATACCGGTAACATCGTTCCCCTTTCCTTCCCTCTTCTCCATTGAGGGCAATGTCGATCTTAAGTGTGGGGGGATGTTTATCTTTTGACTGCATTAGATCTGTTTGTGTGCTTGGAGCCTAGTCCACTGTCCAAATTTTTGAATTTGAGGGCTCCAAGTACGTGTTCCTTGCAATTACCTGCTCAGTATGCTTTGAATTGACAGTCTCTGTAGTGATTTGCAACCTAGGGAGGTAGTGTAGCGCTATGGAGGATGTTGATGCATTTAAGACGTCTCATTTCTTCTTCATATTGTGTTGGTTGATTGAGTGAATTAGTGATCTTAGGACCCTTGAAGTGTGTGGTGTTGTGGACTCTCAGCCTGTCATGGACTCTTGTATCATGTTTTGAAAATAACAGGTGCTCGAAAATGTGCTTTAAAATGACGTCTCCCGTGCGAATAGGGGAAAGTGTGTAAGGGGAGACGGGAATCCGTTCCCAATTTCCACCTACTACCTCCAGCCCCCTTACATGTCTTTCCCCCGCACGAGGCTCGAGACAACTGCTCCTGGCATGGCCGGTAAGAGCCGGGCTCTCGCAAAACCTTTGCTAGGTGGGAGCCCCCGTTTTCTGCAAAAACAGGTTGGAACCCTTGAAAAAAAGAGAAAAACAAGCAAAAATAAGAAAGAAAAGGGGTTCCAACCATCTTCAAGAAGAAAATCGAGCACCTTGAAAAATGTGAGTCCATGATCTTTTGTTTTTTTAGAGTCTCTTCATCCACGATTCATTTGTCCTCTGTTCACTATTTGCCATGATGTCGACTCGAGACTAGCGTTCTCGCCGAAGAGGCTATGAGATGACTTGTGCGTCGGTTGACCTCGTAAGCTGCTAAATGATCTAGGAAGTCCGCTACCTACGATCGAGGTTGTTTGGTTTTATAGAGGTCTGGAGAGTTGCATTGGTTTGAGTTAGGTTTGCTTGGGGACAAGCAAACGATTAAGTGTGGGGGGATTTGATGACTCCATATTTGCACAGGTTTTCCCCTTTGTTCCTTGATCGTTTAAGCTTGCATTATTGCTTCTTTGGCCTATTTTACGCTAGGTTGTGTTCCTTTGTCACATTTCAGGTCCTAGCACATAAAGTGAAGCATAGGCGCAAGTTTCAAGTCAATCAGAGATCAATTGGCGATTCGGGAGAAGAAACTCTGGCATGACCTGAAGAAGAATGGATTTCTACCTCACTTTATGGACAAAGAATCGTGCAAGTTTGACATGAAAAGAAAGAGGACGAGACTACGAGCGTCTGGGATCAAACGGCGACTGATTCGGAGTCCGGACGAGGGAGAAACGAAGCATTGAATATAGGGGAACAGGTTCGGCAGTAAAAACACGGGCAGGAGGCCTTCAAAACACGGCCGTGTTCTGTGACCGTGCTTTTACTGCCGAGAGCAAATCCGAGTTTGGCAGACATGAGCTGATTACACGGGCAGGGCCGAGACAAAGCACAGGCGTGTTCTCCCAAAGCACGGCCGTGTTCTCCCAAAAGCACGGCCGTGTTTTCACCAACAAGATGGCCGTGTAATTAACCCTAGCCAAAGCACGGGCGGGCTGAGGCAAAGCACGGCCGTGCCCTCGACCGTGCTTTGGCCACTGATGCCTTTTTAGGCAGATTTTCAGCCAAAAGAGGGGCGATTCGAGTTTTAGAGAGACAGAGCGATTCCTAGAGAGAGAAAGCGACGAACAAGAGTCTCCAAGTGCCCTAGATCGATCTTCAACACCATTGGAGCTTGGCTTGAGCTTGGAGAAGTGCCGATTCAACGTCCAGGAGCAGAAATCCATCTTCACAGTATGACTTCCGCATCTGATTCTGCTTTTGCTTCTCTCTCCATGGAGTAGTTCTCCCATTCATCTGGGTGTGGGAAACCCTAGTTCTGTATGTTGGGATTGATTGTATGAACCCAAGTACTGTTTCTATGAATTGATTATATTCGATTGAGGTTTGAATGATTGAATGACATGAATCCTGATCAAATTCCTGTTGTTTCTGCTTTAACCTAGAATGATAATATCTGACTAGGTTGATAGAGCATCCTTGATTGAAGGTAGGGAGTTGGTGACTTTAGTCGAGGAACCAACTCACTATTCTGTACCGGTTTTACTCCGGTAGTGGAGGTTTTGTTCTTAGGTCCTCAATCTGTTTACTCCGGTGGAGGTTAGTCGCCCGCTAGAGACTCAGATTGAGAGGGTCTGAAGACCTTTAGTCGAGACTTCAGACTGTTTGAGAATCTTCCGCAGTATAACTATCATAGAAATTGAACTTGGTAATTACAATCCGGCTTAACTGCAGACTAGGGGGAACCATATCCGGGTGACCTCTCTTAACCTGAAAACAACCGTTTAGTTGCTTTGCTTGCTTGTTAGTTTAGACCTTCACTAAAGTTTCATTGCTAGATAATACGAATTCACTGAGTAGTCATCACATCTAGGACCCGGGTTGACATTAAAACCCAAACCCGCTATACTACGCTTTAGGAAGTGGTTACACTTGGCCAATTTCTAGAGTGACAGTAGGAGTGAGTCAGTTTCCTCGCACAAGGCCTGGCCTGTTCAATAATCCGGTCAAGAAAGCATACGGAACTACCTATGATACCAAGGCCGGTATCCATCTCTAGAAGATTCAGGCAGGGTAAACAAGTCTCTCAAAATCTTTTTCATGCATCGCTTTAACTAAACTCTGCTTGTTTCTTGGTTCTATTATTGATTTTCACGCAGATTGCTTTTGGGGGAATATTTTGAAGTTTCGTAAGAAGAACTGGCAATTCGATTTCATTGGTGGCATTTTGTACTTCGTGCCGGGGTTTTCCATGTTCCCTCAGGTAATTAGAACACCTAATGGCTATTCTCCTACCATCTAATGTGTATTCAGGTGCCATCTTGTTGTATGGATTGACTGACTATGAATCTCTTCTTTTATGTCTAGTGTAACCTTGACCTCATTTTGCAACGTGATACATTTCGAGCCACGTATGGAGTTTATTTGGCATAGTTTGGAATACTTTTCTGTACATGATGCTACAGCACTCTCATGTATCCTTGTTTGGTGCTCTGGGGTTGCTGATAGAAGTAATTGCATTCGTCCCATCAAAGATGTCTTGGAAGAAAAGTGCCATGATTGGAATTCTTCATTTCTCAGCACATCTAGCATCATCCCTTGTCCTCATGTTGCTCTTGCAACTTGGTATCGAGACATGCATTCGGCATAACTTACTCTCTACCTCAAGTTGTCCTTTATGGAATGGTGCAGAAGCACCGTGGAGAAGAGGTGATATCATTTACCATGCTTCCCTCTTCCTCTACTTCTGGTTCATCTCAGACACCAATCGTCTTGTACATTTGCATTAATTGGATTCAGATTCACTTTGGTGAAGCCTTCTCTTCCAATCGTATTGCAAATTACAAGTCGTTTACCAGATTCCACATCGACAGATGAACCATCACCTAGTAAGTGGAGTGCAGCTGCTTACCAACATGATCCTATCAATTCGGTGAAAATAGTTGACCATTTCATGATTTGAAGGACAGAGGAAGTACTAGGGGTAGGAGCAGTGGAAACTAACGGATCAGTCTCTCCCTGATCTCTTCTTCATGTAGATTTTGCTGTAAGTTGTAACATCAGTGTAATCTTAGTAGTGCAGAACCAGGAAAGCGAATCGCGGCAGAGAAATTGATAGTTCTCCACTAACCCTTCGGACTTCACCTTTTCCAGGGTTTATGAACTCTGTAAATATAACTTAGTTGTTTGTCTCTCAGCTAATTAGAACCGTATCGAAAAATCGGAAGAAATGTGATTGATTCATCTTCTGATGCTATTTTTCACTAATTATGTTTCCAGAAACAATTGAGAATAGGGTGAAAGAAAGCTAACTGTGAAACCAAAAAAATCTCTCTAAAACAGAGTGGAGTAATGAGGGAGTATTTTCTATCTACACCAAACGAAAAAGGAAAAAATAAAAACAATCTACACCTCTCATTAGTCCTGATGAAGAAAGGATTCATATGGCGTTCCTTTCAGCACTTCTTGGACTTCTTCAAAGTTTGCTATCTGTTCTGATAATGTCCCACTATGTATCTTAATCTGACGGCTTGTTAGTTCTCTATAAGGCAACCGCAGAAACTCCTGGACTTCTTCAAGCTTCTGCAGAGAAAAATCTACAACTATTAGAGTTGTTACCTGGTTAGTAATAAATGGAGGGAGTTGAGACCCTAGCAAGATTTGATGAGAATCAGGGTTATTGTTTTTCTTACTGTCCTATTTCCAACAACATCTTCGTAGTAGAGGATGATGTGGCGGGTAGACTTGAAGTGTGCAATCGCCCTCGCAGCTCTACTGTCCACGCTCTTTAGCTCTGCCAGCAATGTAGAGGCGTTCAACGATGGCTTGTACTTCGCCAAAACTTTGGCCTGCGGATACACAAATTATGTTCTCATGATACTGCGTAGGAGATCAAATTTGTGAGAGTAACGATTTAAGGTATGATACAATCTAGTTATAAGTAGTGAAATTTCGCAGGAATCGTGATAAAATCATAACGACTTGATTACCAGTTGACAGATATAAAAGGAAGTATAGTTTGGAAAGAGGTGCAGTACCTCTGCGACAGAATGGACATGTGACTTGTGGGTACCATTCAAGGGTTTCTTGCTCTTATCATAGGAATTGGCCATCACAGATATCAACCTCCGAATCAAGTTCCTCCTGAAGAGGAAAATTGCATGAACTCCATTCCTGTTGAAGTAGTCCACTATCCCTTCATGATGCTCCAACACTCCCTACATTACACAAAACAATGAGGCTCGTTTACAGATTCAGTCTACTAGAGTATTTTCCATTTCTTGCACTGCAAATTTTTATTGGCAATATAGTTACCTGATTAAGCATCCATTTGAATCCAACAGCAGCATTACACTCGTTCTTGGAAGCACTACTGAACCAATCCAGATTATAAACTTTGTCCAACACATTAACAATGGCGGAAACATTTGCCCTTCGATCTTTCTTCCCGAAGATTTCGCCATTGGAACTCACATTGATGTGGCTGTTCATCAACGTCTCGAACCACCCGCTCCCTGATCTCTGCATCGACAGTATCGCAAAGTACCTCACCGGATTGCATACGCATTCCTCCCTGACATAGCAAAACAAAATCTGGTCACAACACAAAACATTGTTGTGTCCCCTTTTTTTTATGTGTGCAATGTTTATTATGGTACCTGCTAAACGTGACAGGATTTGGGTAGTGAACAAAAGGGATCTCCCATTGTTCAATGTCGGATGAGTTGCAGAGTTGTTGTACGACTTTGACGTTGTTGAGGAATTCGTTGGTGCTGCTATTGCTGGCGTTGATCTGTTTTAAGCATATGAAGCAAATGTAGACTCCACAGACCATGGCAAATGCCAACACCACAAGCCTGAGCAACAGTGGGGATTTTTTAGGAGCCTTTATGACAAATGAATCCTGCAAATTGAAATTAATTAATTAATACCCAGATGGTGAAACTCGTTCAACAATCATTAAAAGCACTGGCCATGAAAGAAAGAAAGAAAGAAAGAAGAGATGATTGATGATTACATTGGCTTCCATCTATGATGATGCTCCATGAAGGATTAAGGAGGAGAAAGAAAGAAAGGGAAAGGAATTCCGAATTCGAGAGTGGGAAGTTTAATTAAGAGATGGAGTGGGGGCTTTCTGGGTATTTTGAAGGGGGGAGATTTGATGAGAAAAACTAGGCAATAGAAATGGTCAGAGTGTAATGAGCTCACTTGAAAAAATCAATGCAGGAAGAAAAACCCCATTTCATTAATCTTTATGCCATAACTAATGTCTGAAACCCACACAAACAATTTCGTTTTTCAATTTAAAAAGTGGAAAAAAGAGGATAAATCTTGTTACCTATTTCATAGGGACACAATACCAGAAAACCTGTTTCAGAAACAGATCATGAAACTGGTTTTGTTTATCAGGGAAGAATGAACGAATCAGCTGAGGAAATGAGAACCCACCTGACTTAACACACAGATAACTTCAGCAATGGCCAGGTGGAAGCTCTGAAGTAATGTCCTAGGGAGAAAGGGTACATCACGTTGCTAACATAGGAGCTCTTCTCGTTTCATGTCACGTTGCTCTTCTTCATCTTTCTCCTGAAGCCTTTCTGTTCCTTCTCTCCCCCTCTCTCTTAACTCTCTTCTATCTTCGTGTGTTTCGGGAAAGGAGAACTTTCCAAGGAAAGAACGAACCAAATGGAACCCAAAGTTTCAGCTCAAAGAGAGAGACTGTTTTTTTCTCTTTCCCCCTTGTTGGAATCGACAGCCTGGTTTTACCTTTATACCTTTGCTCTGTTTTATTTTCTCTTGGAACAGGTTTTTTTTCTTTTTTCTTGGAACGAACTGGTTTTATAATTATTTTAATCAGGATGTTAGAAAGTGGCAATGTGGCATGCATGTTACCAGACTCCAAGTTGTGTTGTATAGTACAATAATACAAGTGGTAGGTTGGGTAATTCAAATATAGAACACTATTATTATTAATAAAATCAATTTTCATTGAGCTACAACTCATTTGTTGTACGATTTTGAACACTGTGTAATAGTAAAATGTTAGGTAACCAGTTTTATAACAATATTTACTATACACTCCGTATTTTTTACAATAGTATATAAAATGTCACAATAGTTACAATTGATTTGTGGAAATATTTAATCAAAATTTATAACAATGAATATTTTTCATTACATTTTTTTATGCATTCAAGTGTAAATTATGCTTACGCTTTATTTTTTATCAACCTCTTTTGTGATTTCAAAATATATACACTAAAAGATATCCCATCAATATTTAATGATTTATGAGGTTTTTTGGTGGTTGTCATTCACCTATTTCCTATGCAGAGTTACTCCCTATTTATCTAATTATCTTCCCACCTTTCGTTTAAAAAGGAAGTAGCTATCACTTCACAGCCACAAGTTTGGCAACGAGCCAGGCCGGCGATATTGTCGGATCCCTCCAATTTCAGGCGGCTTCTGGCCTTCTTCGACCACCACTACTATTCACCCTTGGTATTTGGTTACCACTCCATCTCGGCGCTTACATGCAGTTTCTTCATCTTCCAATTTATATCTCCGTTGACTGGCCAGAAACTTCTCCGATCAAGTGTCTTTGGTCATATTGTCAGATCCCTCAAAAATCTGGCGTCTTCTCTCTTCTAGTATACTGCGGCCACCATTACGACTCACCCTTGATATTAGGTTACCGCCAAATCTTTGTTCTTACATGAAATTTCACCAGTTTCCTGTTCGGATCTCCGTCAGCCAGCCAACTCCTTCTCCGATTGGTAAGGGCTCAAGTTAGGGTGCATAATCATGGGTTATGCACCCATCAATAACCAAATCTGAACCATTCATTTAGAAAATCCAGATCTAAGGATGGAGAATTAAAGGTTATTTTTATTTTCACTAGCTTTCTTAATTGACTCATATTTTTTTTGTTTTAACTCGGATTTTAATTTTTTTGCACAGATGGAACGCGTTCATCGTGCTCTACAAAATGAGATCAATTTTGAATATTTTTTGAGGAAAAAAAATTCTGACCTCTCGGTACCAACTGCATACCATATAGTATTTTTTTCGTTTTTAATTCGTTTTTGAAAACGTTTGCACAACAAGGACGAGTTCATCATGATCTATTGGATCTACAAATTTCTGGGTGAACAAATTAAAAGACCAAAAAATACCACACAATACCACCATGGTACGGGGTGGTATCTTATGGTATACAATGTTAAAAGTCGTAAATGACAATTAATATACTTCTACTATAATGTATTCAACCATCCTACAGTTTTAGTTTGTGTCATACCACCATGGTACGCTTTTCAAACCATAGGTATGCTCTTATTTCAATACCAGTCAATACCATATGATATAGACTGGTAAAAAATAGCTCAATTTTTTTTTGTTCGAAAATATATCAAATTGGATATCATTTTGAAGAGCACAATTAATCTGATCTAACTGTGAAAAAAAATTAAATTTCGACTTAAAACGAGTGAGAAATCGTCCATCAAAGATTAAAGAGGGGAAAATTAAAGACTTTCCAGGAGAGAGAGGATGCCGATGTCATGCTGATGTGGGCGGGTTACTCAAAGTTACTCACCATAAGGTTACTGACCTGATCCGTTCCCCGGCAAGGGCATAAAATTGGACTCGTGAATTTGCGATGACCATTCATTCTCACTTATGGGATGGGCTTTATTCACCAAGAGGCTAGAAACTTTATCTAACAAAACAATTCACGCTCCTTGTCCATAAAATCCGCGCTCCCATTACAGAAAATTCGGGAATTATTTGCGAACCGAGGAAAAATCGTGTTTCTACGCTCCAAAGCGGGAGCGGAGAGGCTAAGGTGACGAATTATGTGACCTAAGTAAAATGTCATTCCCTATCTCTAATTATTTTCAAAACCTAACAATTAAACTAATTTCAAGATATCCTTAATTTTTATTGATTTTATGATTGTACGACAAGTGTTGAAAGAGTCTTTCAGCTTTGGGTTACTTCAAGAATAAGTATACAAATCGAATATGCGATAAGTTGTCTAGTAGGATATATAGAGACAATTTTTTTTTAAACTATAGACACCAAGTGTATTCTACAATTATTTCCGAATATGAAAACACATCATGAATTTTTTTAACCTGTACGAGTAATATATTTTTTTATTTAATATTTTATTTTTATTAAATTTATTTTTAAAATGAGGACACCTCTATAGAAAATTTTAGGTCCACCACTGATTAGGATCAAATCATGGATGTCTAATCTTTAATGACACTTGTTTAAGAATAACAAAGACTTTTTGGGGATTGAATTTAATGAGTGAGATGTTTAGCACAAATAGTACCAAACTTTTGACTTGTGTGTGGGTTTGCACTTTGCCCAGACACCACCGACTTGCTCATTTATTAATGTAGATGTAGTTGGCTTTCATTTTTTTGCTTATGAAGGGGTATGATGGGCATCTTTGTTGTTCCATCTTCTCTCTCTTCTTTTTCTTAGGCCAATCGCTAGCTTGCACCATTGTCAGCATGGGACATGCGAAATTAAGACTGGGAAGAAACCAAGAAAGAGTAGAAAGGGATGGGTTTGCTTTGCTTTACAGCGAGAATATACGAGCAGCGGCAGATCCAAAATATAGAAGAGTACTGGGCCGCATTTGAATATATTATTAGATATCGTAAACAAAAATAGTTAACATTCCAAAATTTAAGTATTTTAAAAAAGAAATTAGTTGCAAAATTACCAACAGTAACAGACAAATGACTGATATTTTGATTCATTACAAAAGATTTAGATAATATTTTATATTTCGAAAGGTTTGGCTAATAATTTGGAAAGTCTGAAATGTTTGGTTAATAAATTGTGCTTCATTAATGCCAATTGTAATAGAAGGTTTTTTAATTTGGCAAATCCCATCAATAATATAATCTCCATCCATACCAATAGCATACTCTCTCTCAAATAAAATAAAATAACTATGCAAACAATGACAAATTCATCGCGCATTTTGTTGCACAAATTAGTTTTCACATACTTCATTGCTTAAAATGTTCTCTCCATGGTAGCCGCTATAAATGGGTAAGGTTAACACTGGACGAATAAACCAAAAAATCACTTTGTTTAGAGGGTTTTCTCATTTCAATGAAACTTTATACGATCTTTACGTTTTAGACATTTAGGTTTTATTGTTTTTTTTTTCAAATGAAAATCATTCAGGCTAGAATTTATAGGCTAAATTGGGAGTAGTTGTTTGCATATGTTTATCTAAACCGCTATTCTAACTACACAAAATTCTATTATTAAATAACACTCGACCGACTTTTAAATAGTATTGGGCCGAATACCTAAATCGAAAATTTTGTAAGCACTATTCTAGCTCTGGATCCAACGGAGGGTTGGGCCGTGGCCCGGTTGGCCCAGCCCTAGATTCGCCGCTGTATACGAGGCAGCAGTGTTTTCTAATTCCTCTATTTATTGTTCTTATTCATTTCGACGCGTTATAAAAGGACGAACAAAGACAACTGGATTTGACTAGGGTATGAAACACATTTTGGTCACCGAGCCTTTGTGTCAACTCTGTGTGTGGAGAAGCTAAGCTTGATTTAATTTTTTCAAGGGCTTCACATTTGGGTAGCTGCAGTTTTTGTCAGGGAAATAGTATGGAGAAAACGTATCGAAGGCGTGATTTTGATCACTTTCCTTAGAGTGTTTATTTGCCCCCAGTACATTGTTGCTGGTAGGATTTAGTTAAACCACCCCCAGGAGTCCCTCCAATCAAAGTCTGAAAGCATCACCTTTCGTGACTTCTGTGTTTCTTCTGAAGATGAATGTTGGACGAGAAGTCTGGCGGCAAAAGGCTTTTATAGTGAAAATGGCAGTTTCTTCTGAAGGGTTACGTCGTTTCACAAAAATCGAACACCAAATAATTATCCAGAATTAATTAATCAAATTAATTTTGGTAATTAATTAGCCCAAAATTAAAATCCAAACGCGTCGCGGAAACGTGCACAGTGCGTAGTGCGATTTAATATGTCAAATTAAATAGCACACACATTTTCCAAAA